CTCCAGCAGCTGCCTCCAAGCACTGGAGCTGCATGTGAAGCAAGACCAGTCCAGAGTGGAGTGGCAGCTACACGATGAGAGACCAAATGAGCCACTCCAGAAGGGAGGCACAGCTTGGGACAAGCGTCACAGCCACGCAAAGCCGACCAGAAAAGGCTGACATGCTTCTAAAGGGGGTTCTTTTAAAGGCTTCCAGACTGCAGCATGCAAGCAGGTAGCATGCACATCTGCTTATCCAAGCTCATGGAGCACTCATCCTCCTCCTTTTCTCCGATTCAGATTCATGAGGCAGCTTTGCAGACCCTCTGCTACAGCTGCACTGACCCAATCAGAGGGTCTGCACGTGCAGTAGGCATCCACCAGCCTAATTTCTGAAGAATCCTCTCTCCAGGGCTGCTGGCTCCTGCATGCCTATCAGAGAACACTCCAGGCAATTCATTGTTTTAAACAAATGAGTGATTAGCAAGGATCCACTCTCTCCTTGTGAAGCTGGCTGCATGCCCTGCAAGCCACCACATCACTGTGCAGTACTATAATCCAATTAAACCTCACCATGAGAGAAGCTTCACGCTATCACATTCAATTAGCCATTTAAGCCTCTTTTCATCTGCACATTGGGATCTGTTTGGACTCCAGCTTCTACAGCGCTGTTTGAGAGGTGGCATTCTGTGACCAAACAAGGCTGAACATGGACATCGTGTCTGGAGCCACAAGATGACCATACAATATTGCTGGCTTACAGGAGGGAGAAACAAAGACAAAGTAAAACCCAGCCATCAGCTCCTGCCTGCTCACAGTTGGATGCTCTCCGGGGGCCCCACTCCCCAACTTCCTATGGAAATGGAGCAAGCAGTTCTGGAGGTCACAAGCAGCCCAGAGGAATTTCTCTCTCCTTAGTAAGGTAATGGAAAGGCGAAGGCTAGTGAAGGACCTGGCAATACGGAGCTTTTTGGCAGCCAGCCACCAATTCCATAGGAAATACCCTCCCTAGAAGGTCACCATAACGGTGGCAAGATTTGGCCCAAAAGAATTAGAAAAAGCTGCCAAGATGTGACGCAAATAAAGGCAGTGTGCAGGCCAGCTTCCTGCGTAAGGCCAAAACATGGAGTGCTCTTGGAAAAAGAAAGATTAAGGGTTGCAAGGAACATAATGGCCTCTTGTAACAGCTCTGTTGAAGCTTTTCTTTTCTTTGGCAGAAAAGAAGGATGTTTTGTTGCCGGTTGATTAATCTATTATGCAAATCATTTCATAGCTAATTTGATACAGCCTCACATTCGCCACAGCAACCATGGAACACTCAGGACTGATGAGAGGCACAGTACCAACAGCTCTGCTGCTCTCTGGCTGTCCTGATTGCATTGGGAACACAAAGGGAACACTTGCTCAATGCCATTTTGGACTTCTCCTCTTCCATGATGGCTAAACCCAAAGCAGGGGAGAAACAGGACCTACAGGCACCAAGAATAAGGGGTTTGGCCACTGTGCTTTACCCACACACTTCACTTCCATTGCTCAGTTTTGGATGCTTTTCCCCAAGCATCTCAAATGTTTAACATTGCCTTAGCTAGCAATTTTTTTTTAAAGCCTGCCTCATGCTCATCTGTATTCAATTTCCTCCAGTGGTAAAATGTTAGGCATTCAGTGCTACTCAAACAAAATCAAAACAAAGCCTCCAAATAAGCACTTCTGAGACGTACCTAGTCATCTGAGTAATTAGACATTTTCCTGGTTCTAAACGTACCAAGAATCCGCAGTCAGCTCCCAAGGACCGTGCCAGCAGCAACCTTAACAAACAAGAGTCCTTTCTAAATGTCAGTGAACCAACGCATCAGAAGGTTGATATGCTTAAAGCATCTCTTCCTACCTGAATTAATCAGCAGTTTTACTTGCTCATTATGTAGCATCACTCAGCAACAGTTATTACAGTAGCAAATCATGCATGGCCTGCTGTTGCCACTGCTTGAGCCAGCCTAGAAAGCAGGGACTCACTGGCCAAGCAAAGTTCCCATTTCCAGCAGTGGGAAGCATTTTTTGAACCCAAAGGCATTGCTCTCCTTTTCGAGGGCACCTGCAGAGAGCAGTCAGCCAAGGGCTCCCCACAGATCACTGCCATCTCAGTTCTCAGCTGAGGAAGGACCAAGCACCACATCAGAGTGCCAACACACAGGTCGTGGGACTGCTCCTCACTGCATCGCTCTGCTCACATATCATGCTGACACCCTGATGTGCTCTGAGACTCCTCTGCCGATCCCAACAACTCACTCATCCACTGCAGCTGACGGCAGAACAGAGCAGTGGGAGATGGAGCTGGCACTGCAAGAGCAGCACAGAGCCTGGGGCGTGAGCAAACTGTTCGGATCTGCTCAGCTGCTGTGAACCCACGGCCTCACTGCAAACAGTTTCCATTGCCCAGGGATGTCCATGTGCTTCAAGGCCATCCCGCAGCATTGAGCACTAATGTCTCTGCAAAAGCAGCCTCATGTTCCAGTGTAGCACACAGACTGTCTCATGTTTCCTCACCCACAGATGCAAGGTAGCATGTGAAACTCAGGCAGTACCCAAACAACACAATCTCTTCCCACATATGTTCCACGGGTTTCCTTCATATCTCCAAGTGACATCAGGCCACTGCTGCTCCATACACAGTTCAGCATCACTGCACTCAACACCTCAAGCCTGAACTTTTCTAACCACGTGGCAGTTAAGGCAGTGGCTTCTAACAAACCCCATTCCCAGGGCAAGCTCTGAGCTTCACTGCCCCTTGCTCCAGAAGAACCCCTGTGAACAAAGACCTCCCCCAGATCCATCTCTTCCTCAAACAGCCTCCTGAAGCTCCCTCAAAACAGTAGTGGCCCTGCCATTGACACCCACAGCTCCATCAACAACGTTTGGGACCAAAAACGAAAAAGAAAAACAGAACACAATAACACTAATTCTATGCGTGAGGAAACTGAGCAATGAGGTTTGATTATTCTTGCTTTTTCAGGTATTGAGGAAACTTTGTGCAATGTAACCTTCCAGGAGGGAAAATATTTCAATGCACAGAAGAAAGAAATGGGAGAATAAGGTCGGCATCTCTCCCTTCTGGAACAAAGCAGTTACATCCAAATGAGACAGCTTGAGTTACGTTGCTGGGATGAATAAAAGAAAGAACTTGCATTTCTGAAGCAATTCTGTCAAAAAGCCCAGGAGCTATAGGTACTTAAGAAAGATGTCAGAAACCATTGCTGCAAATGGCAGGAGAGAAAGAGAGACCAGTACAAGCACAACACACCTCCCACATTTGTGTTTCACCCAGAACAGCACTATGAGTCTTCACTGTTACTCTTCCTTCAGTTTAGACACAGCCCAGCCGGAGAAGGAAGCTACACAGGCACCAAGACAGCCTTCCAGATCTCACTGAGCATGTCTGAGGCTGGTCAATGAAGAGCAGGTGCTTGGAGGTCTTCCTCCTGCAGCACAGCTTGCAGCCATTGCAAGCCACACCTGAGTAACGCCAGCTGCCCACAGCACAGCCTGCAATGCCTCCAGCCAGCCCTCCTGCTGCTCAGCTCACTGTGGGAGAAAGGGTTGGGAAATGGGGTCAGATTTATTTCCACAAGAGGGGAAGGAAACAGTGCTCCCTCCCCAAACACACAGTCCTCTGTCATGAATCCCCTGCCCAACTCCAATTTCTTCTGAGCTACACAGGCTGTCCTGCCAACAGAACCATGGAGGGGAACTTGTCAAGGGTGGAAATCTCAGAAGAGACCAAGGCAGTTCCACATTACTTGACCCACTCTCCTCCACATCCTCTTTTCACATTCCACCAGATATCTGCTAGGACAACAAGCTTATCTTTAATACCGTTTCCCCCACAGAACAGTTTTCATCTCAACATCTCTCATTTTAACACAAAAACATCGAGTGCCTTTGTGCCACAGAAAAATTGCTATACTATGAGCTTAAAATATAACTTAAGGTTTCCAAACTCCTGCCTTCTCCACCACAGTGATTCATGCAAAACCTATAATGAAACACAAAGCATGGACTTTAAGTAGCACCACAGGACATAATGTTTAATGGTGAAAAACAGCAGAATGTTGGTTCAGCACTCCAGCTGCTGCTACAGGCCTTACAGTTTGCTTGGCACAAGCAACACAGCACACTCCTTCCCTATCATCAGACCAACACTGCTGCGGGGCTGCAGCCTGGTGCTTCTGACTTCATTTCAGAGCAACAACACACTTGGCAATCACAGTGACAGTTGCAGTCCCACCACACATTGCATCCCTGACACAGCACTCATACAGCCCAGCCTGTATGGAGCTTGCAACCAGCTGGGCAGGATGGGCAGACAGTAGCAGCTGGCAAAGACAATACCAGTGTTGAAGCCAGAGGGACCCACCCACTTGGGACCTCTCACACAAAAGCTGTGTTCCTAGATGGAATACAGGTGCCCCAGTCCTCTCATCAGACATTCAGAGCATGCAATCCAAGTGCTTCCACCAGCTCCTGCTTCACAGTTTGCTACAATGCCTTCAATGCTTCCACCGTGAGCCCCAGCTCTGCCCCTTACACACCAGTACCCACACTGCCCCCTCACACCACCCAGACCCCGGCCAGCTGCCTGCCTCAGCTGCCACCCTGAGCCTCCAACATTCTACCACGCATCCAAGCAGAGCCAGCATCCTTATGCTGCAGTTCCTGGTCATCCACAGATCTGCAAACAAGCAACCTATGTCGTGAGCTAGTTTTCGTATCTGCAAGTATCAGCATAAATGGTAATGCAGAACTAAAAGTCCTTGACAGCAACGGGCATTTGTGTTTTTTAATTTTAACAGCTGCCACTAGGAGTTGGGCGAGATAGAAGCCCTACTGCCTTCCTGGAGCCATGGGCGCAAAGGAAAGAACAATGTTCAAAGCAGCATTGCAAGAGTGCTGCATGTCCTCTGCACAGCACCAGGGTTGTGCGAATGGCACTGGAACCCAGCACAAAACACAAAAGTACTCCAACCTACCTCTACCTCATTCCATGTGGCAGCACAGGGACTCACTGGAAAGAGGTACGTGCCCTCCTGCTGGCAGTGCCCTTCGGAAACCTCCTGCTGCAGAGCAGGACAGCTGAGCAGAGAAAGTTGCTGCATGACACACCTCGAGCTGCCAGCACAATTGGGCTATCCTCACCCAAACCACCCGCAGCTGCAGAACACGGGTTTTCTGCCCCGTGCTATCACCTTGTCCACAATACCCGAGCTCAGAGTGCGGAACAGCCCCAGCGGACGGCTGCCTGCCCGCAACACAGCGACCGTGCCCCTCGGCAGAGGGAAACGGAGGGACCCGGGTCCAACCGCCCTGTGGCACAGGAGATGGATGGAAGCTCCGGGGTACCCGCAGAGCTCCGCACGCCTGCGAGCTCAGCCCGATGACTCCGTTCCCCGCTCACTCGCTCTCGCCGCGCCCCCAAGAAGTAAAAGACGTTAAAATCACAGCAGGCAGGCGCTGGGATCTCCGGCACGCCCCAGCCCTAAGCATGCGCCCGCTCGCAGGCTGGGAAGGGGTCCGCACGGCGCCGAGCCCCCGCCGACCGGACGGCCCCGAGGGGCAGTGCGCTCCAAAATGGCGGGGGGCGCCACGGTAACGGGGGGCTGCGAGACGGAGGGACGCCCAGAGCGGGGCCGAGAGGGCAGCCGGGCAGGGGCCTCGGACACGCGGGGCGCCGCACGGCCACCAGGCCCCGCCGGCTACCCACCGAGGGGAAGGGGCGAGGCGGGCGCGCGTCCGCCACCGTTACCTGGGCACGCAGCTGGGGCTGGAACCGTCGATTTCCCAGGTGGCGAAGAGGTTCATAGGCACGGGCCGCCCCAAAGCCCCGGCACCGCCCGGGAAGCTGAGGCGGCCCCGCTCCGCCGCCGCCGCCATGGCTGCCGGCCTGGCGTGCGCCCACCGGGCCGCCGCCGCTGGCTGTGCCGCCGCCCCGCCCCACCCCGGCGGGGGGTGTGGTCACGTGAAGGCGGGCAGGCCCAGAGAACGGTAGGAGGGGCCGGTAAGGAGCTGGGCGGGATTAAACAGAACGGACGTGCTCGCGGGGCGGGGTTTATGCAGGCACCGCCCACAGCTCGCTCAGATGAAGGCCGCGCTGCCGGCGGGGCGGTTTCCTGTGGCGCGGCCGGAAGTAGCCGGGAGGTTGTTGGTGGCGGACCGGATGTTGTAGAGGCGGTTTCCGGCCAGCTCAGTGGTGGCTGAGGGAGGAGGTGGTGGCAGTGGGGCAGTGAGCAGAGGTGAGGATGGTGCTGCTTACCATGATCGCCCGCGTGGCGGACGGGCTGCCGCTCGCCGCCTCCATGCAGGAAGATGAGCAGGTAGGTGGGAGTCTCGGTCTAATTAGGCCCGGCCCGATCCAACCGATCTCGCTTTCCTTCAGGCTCTGGCTGGGCCTCGCCGCCCCCCGCGACCGGCCCTTCATCGAGCCGTTGGGACGCGGGTGGGGGGTGTTTGCCGGGTAACAGCAGTCGCCAACGGCCTGTCCTCTCCCCGCAGTCCGGCCGCGACCTGCAGCAGTACCAGAGCCAGGCGAAGCAGCTGTTCCGTAAGCTGAACGAGCAGTCCCCTACGAGGTGCACTCTGGAGGCGGGAGCCATGGCTTTCCAGTAAGTGGCCGTGGGTACGGTGGCAGGGTTAGCATTTGCTGTCTCCGGGGTCAAAGGAAGGTGCTTCTGGGTCCTCTTGAGAAACTGGGCTGTCCTAGGGAGGGTGAACTGTGCAGCTGCCAATTGCAGGTGGGGTAATAGATGTGCTAAGGGAGGATATGTGAGGTATTACATCATAGTACTGCTTTCTGGCACTTCAGCTGGCTTCTTAGCTGTGCCTTTACTCAAGGCAGTGTAGATTCTGTTCTTTTTAAGCTTTCTCTGTTGATTTGTACCTTCTAATATCCCTTTTTGTCTCCTTTGGGTCCTTTATGCCCTCTGATATTTTCAGAAACAGATGTCATTGGTAAAAGCAGATTAGCAGTTCCATTGTGAACCTCTTCTGCATGAGGTTACCCTTTCCCTGTGTCCCATGAGATTGTACCCTTTTATTCATCCATATGCTTAAGCATGTAGTCTGTCTCTGATATATTTAGTTTCTCTAATAGCTGACAGGCATTTTTTTCACATCTGATAGGTTTGATCTTATCAATAAATGTGTTGCTGCATTTAATTAATCTATCTAAGCTTTTGCAAACTTAGCTTATGATCTCTCTTGACTTTTCTGCACACTACTAAGTGAACTTGAATAATGAAAGCCTAGAGAGAATGTGGGTTGGGCACTGTTACCACCTAACCAGCAGCAGGGGGATCTGGAAAGAAAGTAATAGGTGGAAGAATTTATAGTTTACAGAAGGCAGAAGAAGAGAAAATGCTTTTTTATGTTATGTAACAACCTAGCAGAATAATTGCTGCAAAACTGAGTTAAGTTCTTGTCAAGAATTGTGTTACCAGCAGAAATACTTATGTTAGAGAAGCAAATCTCTGTGAGACTGAGTGCCATGTGGTATTGACAGAACAGTGATGTGCAAAGCTTTGCTGTGCTGCCAGCAGTGGCTTTTTTCCCCCTTGATTTCTGGTTGCCTTTGTTATGGAATTACAGTGTCAGTGATTCAAGCAGTCTGGCTGCTTTTATCTCTTCTAGGGCTTGGACAGTGTTCCTGAGTTAACAGGAGAGTGCTGCTCTGAATCTTCTTTCTGGAAATTAAAATTTTCTGGAGTTCAAAGACTTTGTTTCTAGATGTTCCAATGGCACTGCATAGGTGTATCTGTGACTGTGAAGCCCTGGGGAAGAGTCTTTAGAGATCCTGTTAAACTCCTTTGTCATATTGCTTCCATGATGCAAGCAGAGCAGTATCTGGGAAGACTGCTTCAGTTGCAGTACCCAGGAAACTGAAGCCAGGAGGATTTGGGCAAGCTCATGTTTTGATGGATGTCTCAAAGAAACACCCAGGTTATGTGGCTGGCTAATAAGCAGGGATAGAAGTATCTATCTTTCTGTATTCAGTCTCTGGGCAAGTTCCACAGGCTGATGACAGCTGCTACTGCAAAGCACTCTTGTGTTGCTGCTTTTATCATTGGATATCAAAGCAGGACCTCCGTGAAATGAAGAACGCTTTCAGATCCAAAATTCTCCTCTGATAACACTATGGGTAGGAAGAAAGAAGGGGAATCAGAGATGGTCATCAGTACTATTTTAAACAGTGCTCGTAGTTAACACAGCACATCTTGGTTTTTGCCAAATCAGGGCTCTGACTGCTGAGGGTAGCATAAGCCAGGACAGAGCTTTTTGTGGTGTGAGGGAGATCGTGGCTGAACTTGCTAAGAAGACTGTGAACGTTTTTAACTTGATCAGTTCAAAGAAGAGTCTTGCCTTGATGAAATCTGAAGCTCAAACTAAGACTGCTGGAGTGATTATCATCAAATGTGATCTTCAGAGTAGCTCCAGAAGCTGTGTCACCCTTCCAGCTACAGCACTTGCAGTAATGGCTGTGCAGGGGGAGAAGCACCTCCATACTTTGCTATGCTGTCAGTTGTGAGTTGACCTTTGGCTCATCAATGGCTTAAGTGGCTCTTAATGTTGAAAACAACCCTTGGCCTTTACTGCTGATACCAGTTAGAAGAATAAAGCTTTTCTCTCTCAAACTTATCCCAGATAAATACAGAAACCTGCTAGCTGCCCTCAGCATGCAGCAATCTAGAGTACAGGAGTTAGAAGTGGTAAACTGCAATGTGTGCATTGCTGGGCATGCAGTGTGATCAGGTGCTGTGCAAAAGCTCAGAGGTGTGCACAGGTGTGAAAGAGGCATCCAGCTGTGCTGGAAATCTGTTCTGATCTTGGATTGAGGCTGCAGAATGGTGTGAATCCAGTACAGAAGGAAGTGTGGTTGTTTGCTGTGGTACTGACAGATGAACTTTATATTGATATCATATTGGGAAAAGCAAGTGGGAAATACAGCTGAAGAGCTGTAGACAGGACAGCTGGCCAGAACAGACCATGGCTTTACTGGCTGGGCATTTCCTTCATTTGCTCTCATCTTTGCTTTGGCTCTCAGGGAATACTCTTCATACTCTGACAAGAACCTTGCTTCTTTCAAGTACCTTCAAAAAAGTTTTTGTTCATGGCAGTGGCTAAATCAAGCTCTGAATGATAACTTAGAACAATCCTGAGCTGCCAAGAAGGTCTCTGAGGGTGAGGAACGAACAGAGGCAAGGCATATGATAGGATTAGTCCTACAGATTAATGCAGTCCGAGCTGAGGGACACAGAAAGGTCATAAAAACATGGGTGGATTGTAGTGGCTGAAATTTCTTGCTTCTGCTTGGAGTGGATCAGCTGTTCCTTACAGTCTGGCAGGATTTGCACACAGACCACTGAGGCAGCAGAAAAGGATATTCAGAAGCGAGTTGAGGATGGTTAAATCAGAGGGTCTAGAACTTTTTGAGTATCTGGAAAAACAGCAGGTTGTGGGAGGAAGTTGTATTATATGCTGGAAGCAGCTATTATTGAAATTTTTAAGGTTATTAACTACAGTGCCCCTATGACTAGATCAGTTCTCTAATACACTGTTAATCTCTAGGTTAATTAGACCGATACATAATGGCATTATTATACACAGTCAATTTCAAATTGAAATTTATAAATCAAAGGAAAGTAACGTAGATGTAAAACTGAAATTCCATCCTAAGTAATAGAAATATTTGAAAGTGTATCTGGAGCTATCTGCCATCTCCACTAGCTTTGTTTTGGTAGAATTACAGTTGCCTTTATTTTTGTAGTGGCTGAATGAGGAGGAAAACATAGGGAACATGCAACAGCAGATAGCTGTAGTGAAATATAAGATTATTTATTTTACTTAAGTCTCATTCTTTCTTATCCTTTATTGCAGTAGGCTTTTTAGCTGAGTTGTAATGGAAGTTTCCTCCCTATTTCTGCTCACAGAGACACTGCTATCCACAATGAAACAAGCTCAGCACTAAACTTCTGTGAACAATGAGAATTAGCTGCAATAGGGAATGAGGTGGGAGGAAGAGAACACCTCTGCATGTTCAGCTGCAGAATGAACAAAACAGGGTTAAAGAACAACAGTAGCTCCTGTTTCAGCACCAATTTGGGGGCTCCTAACATCACAGCCCAAAAACTGGTAGCGAAATCTAACTTATCCATTGCAAAGATGTCACCAGAGCCCATCTAGTACCAGTATTTGTATTCAGCTGTATGTTGAGGTCAGCTTGTAGAAAGCATTGCCCCAGCAGTAGGTGAGTGTTGGAGAGGAAGGCAGCACCCAGCCTTCCAAAATAGAACATGGGAGCCAGCAGTCACTGTGTGCCTCATCAGAGCTTTAACACACTGAAACCAAATTCCTGTGTGTGCCTTCTCATCTATGGGCCACAGGTGACTGTGTTGTGTGATCTTTAGACTGTGTTTTCCACCTTCCCCTCTTTCTGCTGGCAAACTTTCTTGTGCTTCTTTTCTTCTGGCTGCAGAAGGCATGCATGACAGGAGGAAAGGAGGCAAGCTGTCCTCTCATTTCACTCCCAAAATTATAGCGTTTGTTGCTGGTATTTTTGTTAAGCTGGTGATGCTCACAGACCAGATGTGGTTCCAGTGAAGTAAAAGATCAGAGCCATTCAACCTGGTACAGGTTCTAAGGCTGCAAGAAAATTTATTTTAAGTGAATAAAAAATAGCCACTACTTTGCAGAAAGTTTATACCCGTGCCTAACATAGCAAACTGGAAGTACATTATTTGAGTAGCATTTTAGCCAGCCTAAAATGAATTGTTGCTCCCAGGTTCAATTTCAGAAGTATTACAGTCAGTGACAGTGGAGTTTTACAAAGCCAGCTAGGTTCTCAGCTTAAGAAAGCTGCTTATTTGGAGGAAGAAAGGTGTGATGGATAGTGTCTAATAGGATGGGTACAAAAGTACTTGATTGATTCTCTATTTTATGTTCTTCTAGCTACATCATTGAGAAAGGGGTGTGTTACCTGGTCCTGTGTGAAGCTGCGTTCCCAAAGAAACTGGCCTTTGCATATCTGGAAGACTTGCAATCAGAATTTGATGAGCAGCATGGCAAGAAGGTGCCAACGGTCTCCAGGCCCTATTCCTTCATTGAATTTGGTGAGGTCCCTCTCTGCAAGGCTAGTTAGCAAGCTTATTGCAGGGGTTGCAGCCACAAGATGCTCCCCAGCTTGGCCTATGGAATTGATAGTTCAGTCTCTTTTTGGTGCTATTAAAATGGGTGCTTTTAGCATGGAGTATTTATGAATAGAGACCATGGTAAGAAAATCATAAATATGCTTTAGCTCAGATTTCTTGCTTTCAGTCTTTGGGCCTGTTTCCAGTGAATGTTTGCTTGCAGTCTGCTGGCTGTCTTAGCACTTCTCCCACTCCTTTGGCAGCCAGGCTGCTCTGTGTTCGATGAGTGTTTTCTCCACGCTGCATCTGAAGGAGGTGTGGATCTAATAAGGTGTAGTAAGATGTTTTTGATATAGCACCCTGAATGAGAGTGAGTGGGATGCAAATTGTGAGAACACCAGTGTCCAGCAGTGTGCTGGGGAGGGAAGAACAACTGACTTGATGTCTTTTTGTTCTCCTCCTGGTGGTCTGCTCTCCACTGGTGTGCCCGTTATGTGGGCAGAGTCAGGTCTGTGTGTTAGAGCCTGGAAGAATATTCTCCTGAAGACGGTGCACATCCAGCAGCAAAGTCTCTCAGCCTTCATGCTTTGCTTTTAGGTTAAGGCCCTTCTGTGCTGGCCTGGAGTGGCAGGGTAAGAAACCTAAAGCTTCTAACCCATGTCTGCAGCCTCTCCCTGCAGCCACATTAATGCTTGGAACTGGTTCTTAACATCTTGTTTTCAAATCGAATAATTAGCTTTTGAGGTGGGAGGGCAGAAGCAAGGGTCACTCTGTGTTGTACTTTTTTTGTGTAATAGTTTTCATTTGCAGTGAAAGTGAAAGATGTATTAACTTGAAGCAGAATATTTCTGATTCTGTGCCCTTTTGTGTCTCTATTTGAGCATATGTTTCAGTGAACACAACTAACCAGAAACTCTGAAGCGTTTTAACAAAGAACTGCTGATGTCTATCAGACTGTTGACTGGAAAATCTTCAAGCAGTGGTGGGTGGTTTAGCTGAAGAAGGCATAGGCTGAAGCAGAGACAGTTCAGTTCCTTTTGCCTGGCAAAGCAAGCACCACAGGGAGATAAGTATCCCTCTTGATGGTTCTCTCTTGTTCCAGACACCTACATCCAGAAAACCAAGAAGCTCTACATCGACAGCCGGGCGAGGAGGAACCTGGGTTCCATCAACACAGAGCTGCAGGATGTGCAGAGGATTATGGTGGCCAACATTGAGGAGGTCTTACAGCGAGGAGAGGCACTTTCAGGTACACGTGGTGGATGCTCTTTGGTGTATGCTTACCCTCAGTAAGCAATGTGGGTAGAGCATATCAGATGGAAAGTCTTCCTAATTCCAAGGTCTCCTTAAAAAAAGCAATGGACTCAGCAGGTGCATCATTTCTGTCAGTTGCATCCTGAAGCACCTGATGGATACTGGTGCTACTTTTGAGTGTCTCACCATGTTGGATGGCCCTCATCCTAGCACTAGATTACTGCAGACAGGCACAAGGTGTGCTGTCATGCAATACTGCTGTGCTTCCAGCTGCTCCAGAGAAACTTATTCAGTTAATGTAACATCTGGGTGATATCTGGTTGAGTTAATCTTGATTAACTTCTCTGCCCTTTTCCTCCAACAGCTCTGGATTCCAAGGCCAACAACTTGTCCAGTTTGTCCAAGAAGTACCGTCAGGATGCGAAGTATCTGAACATGCGTTCCACTTACGCCAAGCTTGCGGCCGTAGCTGTGTTTTTTATCATGTTGATCGTCTATGTGAGATTCTGGTGGCTGTGACCTGGTTACACTGAAGAGGGAAAGCTGGTAGCCTGGCAGATGTGTGTGTGTGCAGGACACTGTTCACTGGGGATGTGCATTAGAATCCACGCAGGACCATCACCTTTATACAAGTGTCCTGAAAATGTTAGGTGACACCTGAGTACTACACCTCTTAGTGAATCCTAACTGTAAGTGTAAAGGCTTGTTGACTACAGGCTTTTCCCCTGAGGCAGTTTGCACTAGGATACTGTTGAGGCTGACCTCCTGCGGTTCTGCACCTCTCCAAGCAGTGAGCTTTGGGAACAGCTAATCAGTGCAGTTTAGCATCATCACCTTTTACGTCCTCCTCTTGAGTAGCTCTAGTGGGAACTGGACTCTAATGAACATTCCTTGTGTTGGCAATGTTTGCTTTTTTTTAGGATCTGGATCTGCGGTTTTTTGTTAATATTTTGTTTTTTAAAGATCAGACTCCCCTGTTTGAAGGCAAAATACTGCTCTGTACATATTGTGATAGCTTTCACCTCTGGACTAGCTGTTGTTTTCTGTGTCTGACATCTTGGCTTGTTACACTTTCAATTGCTTTAGAAACAAAAAGATGGTAAATTTATGCCTTAAATACATTCTGTCTAGTACTAGGAGAGGCAATGAAAGGCTTCTATATTATTGATCCCTACAAAACTAAACTACAGGTTTGTATGTGTCTACTTTTCCTCTCCTGGCAGCTGTGTGTGACAGTATGTTTCCATGTGATTAAAAACAGGGTGTGTAACTCAAGTGCTGTTGGAGCGGGCGCAGTGCAAACTATGTCAGCATTATGTCTATTTTCCCTTCTCTCTGCAGATAAACTACATTATTTCCTTCTACTGTACTTTCTTTCCAAAATGTATCAACTGCTAGCATTTCATCTCTGGGATGTGTGTTTTCTTTCTCCCTCTCAATGAAAACAACCAAAAAATAAAAGCCAAACTCTGAATGTTGTTATGAAGAAAAGGGAGTGTTTCCTTAAAAAAAACAAAAAAACAAAAAAAAAAAACACTTCACCTTTACATGAAGGATTCAAGAGGATAACTTAAGAACAGTGGAATCCTTTGGAAATGCCACCTTTTTTTTTTTTTCTTTTTCCTGCAATCACCCTCTCCCTACCTCATTTGGGAAGCTGAAATTGTAGGTGAAGAAAAACTCATTGTGGACAATACTATATAGCTGCTTCTTTCTCACAGGCCAATCTATATAGTCTCAGCATAATGTGATTTTACTTTTATTCCACCTGTGCTAGGAGCACTATTTTATCCATGAGCTTTTTTTAACTAAAAAAACACCCCAAACCACAAAACCCTAAAGCTCAGGCCTTCCCACTCTTCTCTGCACTTAAGTGTCTGTTTCTCTAACTTGGTAGGAAGCAGGTAGTGTCACAGAAGGAAGTTTCAGGGCTCCTAAGTAACTTTTAAAAGCATGTGTTCTTGTGCAGTTCTGGAAATATAAACTGGGACCTGGGAATGTTTTCTGCCACTAGGTAGGGATTTGGGGAGCTGTTGTCCTGCCCAGGCTGGTGCCATGTGGGACTGGCAGGGAAGCAGTTAACACTGTCAGTCAACCAAGCAAATCTGATCTGTCTTGTACTCTAGAATTACCTGGTTGCTGCATGATGTCTCCAAGTGTTACTTTGTAGATTGCTTTATTATTACCATTTTTAATCTTTACAAGTGGTGTCAATCATGGATGACTGTCCCAGTGATGTAGATCTGTGTGTGATGTGGGTACTGGAAGGTGAGCTGACAATGACTGTAACTGGATTGTGTTGTGACTTGAGGGGGAGACATTGCTCAGCAAGCAGTTGCCTGCTGCTGCCCAAGTGTCAGCAGTGAAATAAATGCTTCTGAAAAATCCCCTTGGCAGCGTGACTGATGTCTCTGTCATTCTAGAGGACGCTTTCTTTGCTTCTAGAGGCGCAGGAGGGTAAAGACCCCACACTTAACTGACAGCTCTCTGCTGTGTGCAGAGCAACACGTGCAGCCTGAGCCGTCAGTGCCAGTGCAGATCCAGAGCTGTTGCCTGCAGATGGCAGTGCTGGCACGGTGCAGAGCCCTGTGACTCTACCTGAGGGCTCCCCATCTTGTGGCGCTGCCCTGATCTCCCTGAAGCCCTACAGCTTAGCTGGGCCCAAGGGTTGGCTGGTTTGTTTCTTAAGAAAAAAAGCTGTTTGTATTGGGTGCACTTGCTGCTGCCGCTGCTCAGGTCTGGGTGCCTCTGGGTGCCCCTGTGCTGGAAGGAATGGGAAATGTAGAAAGGATTGTGTGGGGCTGTTCCCACCCTGACCCACCAAGAGGCTGTGCTGGGTGGGTGGTAAATCCTGTTCTCTGTCTCCTTGCATGCTGCTGTCATTGTCACACGTAAACCAGGTGCCATCTGGCACAGACCACAGCAGTGCTCGGCATCGTCACCTCTCCCCCAGAGAGAGCACTGGTTTGGGTGCTGCAGGGTTTTGGTTTCTGTGTTTATTTGGGCACCAGCTGCCTCCCCCCACTTTGAACCAGCTCCTCACACTTGCAATTCCCTCCCCTTTTTTTTTTTTTTTTTGGTGGGGGGAAGCACATTCAGCATCTCTTTTTCTGGTGTCATGGGGGTCTTTGACCCCAGGTGGTTTTTGGCAGCTGCTTTGCCATGAATGAACATCCCAGTGGCATCAAGTGTGCCGGCATCACTGTGTCAGGGATCCACACATCTGCCTGAGGGCACGAGTCACAAAGTAACAGCCTGCACAGTAAAGGCCAGGATGGTAGGGCTTGGGGTTCAGTCCTCACAGCACCCAGTCCTTCTGCTATCTCCCTCAGAGGCTCTGGGGCTTTGCTTCTTAGGGTGGGCTGGCTGGTGAGTTTGGGAGGAGGGTGTCTCCTGCTCCTTGCTGCTTGCTTTACTGCTGAAGTGACCTTTAGAAAAGGAGGATGTGTCTTTTCTGCTGGCTGAAAATGAAAGCTCTCAGATGGCAGGGCACTGCTACCATAACTAGGATTGGAGGCCAGCCAAGGGCAGCTGACTGTAGGGAGCAATCCTCCCTGAATCACAGAATCATGGAATGGTTTGGATTGGAAGGGACCTTTAAGATCATGTAGTTCCAACCTCCTGCTATAGGCAGGGACACCTCCCACTAGACTGGGTTGCTCACAGCCCCATCCAGCCTGGTCTTGAATGTTTCCAGGGAGAAGGCATCCACAACCTCTGTGGGCAACCTGTTCCAGGTTCTGTACCCTCACAGTACAGAATGTCTTCCTAATATCTACTCTAAGTCTTCCTCTTCCAGTTTAAAGCCCTTTCCCCTTATCCCATCACTACATGCCCTTATAAAAAGTCCCTCCACAGATTTCCTGTAGGCCACTTCAGGTATGGTTACTTGTCTCAGCACACTATAGATGTGGGGTGTCATAGGGCACCCCAAAATGCCCCATCCCCTCTATCTGGAGGGGTGATGCAGCTGGGCTGGACAGCAAGGCAGCAAGCACAGGGCAGCTACCAACAGCCTTATTCACTCCCAGACCTGAGCCCTCCTGGGGTTCAGCAGCTCCCGAGGCCCTATAGCCAACATGTGAGAGAGGCAGGCTCCGACCTCCCCTCCTCAACTGCTCTGCTCACATTTCCCCTCTATAGACATCATATCCCCAGCTCTGCATCCAACCCTACCACCTCCCCTCACCTGCCTGTCCACCCTTGTCCCCAGCTCAGGTGCTGGCTGGGTCTGCTTTGGGACATGGGGTATCCACAGCACTGAGCCCCACAGCAGCTGCTCCCAGCTGACTGCAGCCATGCCTGAGCATGCGAGTCGCTGCAGGAAAGGAAGCAGAAATTTGTGGGGCTCTCCTGAGCTCCCAGAAGAGCCATAGCCAAGCAGGCAGGCACTAAGACTCACACTACACAAGTTTCTCTGCTGTGATGGCTGCAGGGAGAAGCCCAGTGTGATTTTGAATCATGGTTTGTAAAACCCCCTGTGGTTGAGCCCCAGTGCTCTGCTCAGAGATGATAAACTCGTTTCCTGTGTCATTTCATTTTTTTTTTCTTCCTTCCCCATGTTGAGCTGCTGCCAGCACTGCTTCCCACTAGACTCCCAGCCCTGCAGTGTGCCCCAGGACTGCCTGCTGCCCCAGCATGCCATGTACCCCTGCCTGTGCTCACTGGAAGCAGGGTACCTTAACACAGTCTGGAGCTGAGTGTGCCCTCCCTTCTGCCTGTCACCCAGGCACCCAAAAATGGAAGCAGACACAGGATTTGCATAGAGAAGCAGAAATAATGTGATCACTCAGTGACCTTGAGACCTCTGCGCATCCATGCCAATATGTGCCAGAGCCAGTGGGAGTATGGGGAGCCCAGGGTTCCCTGAGACCTCTCCTGGAGCTGAGTGACAAACAGTGCTATTGTCCTGTCTCCATGTCCTTCTTCTGCATTAGGGCCTGTTTGGGAAGAGGCTGTCTGTGCTGGATGCTCCCTCCAGCAAGTACAGCCCCAGCAGCTCAAGGTAACCACAACTGGGTGAATTCTCACTCCATTGTGTGCCCAGAGCTGGGAAGGCCTCAGGAGTTCAGCAGCCACCCTGTATGTCACCAACTTTGGTAAAAGCGGCACAAGCGGAGCTTATAAATATTCCCAGGCTCCTGGAGCGGGTGCTGCTGCCCAGGAACCAGGCAGCCAAAATTCCCCCCGCGATTAACTGCAACACACAAACAGCTCGTGGTGCATTCCTGCGGGGAGCGGGGCTCCCTCCCCCCCAGCCAGCCCGCTTGAGGCAGGAATGCCTTCTCTCTTTTTTTAAGACCAGCTAGCAGGTAAGATAATCAGCGCAAAAGCCAAGTCATGTGAGTTTTAACAGTAACAGATGAGCCACAGCACAAGCTATTTGTGGTGCAGGCACAAGGTTGCCAACCCTGAGGATTTTGTTGGAAGACTCTCTCCCTCTTATTTTTATTAACCCCCTTGAAACTGTGAAAGAACCCAGTTTCTATTTTAATGGAGCTCCAGCTCATCTATTTGCTAAAGAGAAAGCGTGGATGTATGACTCAATCCCCCCAAAAACACAGACAGGTAAAATTAAGGCAACTTTGATACAGGTATGTAAAACTCTGGGATTTAAGGCAGGCATTTGGGTGTGTGCTGTAAAGAGGTTTGAATGCCTGAACCGCCAACAATGTCACAGAAAGGTTAGTGCAAGAAAATACAATTTATTTTGAGGCTGACAATGAGTTCCTGCAAAGCTGGTGAAACCAGCAATCCCTGTGAGGTATGGACCAGATGAAAAGCAAAACACTTCTCACTCAGTGCAGCTCAGACATAAATTGCACCCCGTGGATTGAGCTGAGCTGAGCACAGAAGCACGGACACACACCTGCAGGACAGCGTGCCCCCAGTTTCAGAGCTATGAGCTAACTGGTTTCAATGGGCAGAAGGTGCCACGCAACAGGTGCAGGGCCCCAGCTTGTGGGCACTTCTCTGACGGCAGCTCCAAGGGGACACCATGTTGCCATCATCACATCCCGGGTACCATGTCCCTATGGGCTTCCTCTGCCAGCGTGAGCTGGAGCAGGATTTGTTCTGCCCATTTGTGAGAAAAGATCAACTGCTGGGGATCACAGCACACTGGGACCTGCATCCCAACACCTCTGGTGGCAGCCCAGCACCATCACCCCAGGATGACCACTCATCAATGGCCAGCAAGGCAGCTTGCTTTGAAGCAGTGGTGCAGGAAGTGTGACAAAGGCTTGAGCTGAAAAGCAGCCTGCAACCACTGTTATCAAAACGAGTGCACCATTACTTTACAGAGCAGGCTGCAGAAACCGTTTCAGAGGGAGACTTGCAACAGCAAGCTGCAAAGGCATCACTGCAGGGCAGTGCTGGGGCTCGCTGACCGCTTGATCTCCCTGCCTTTGTCAGCCAAAGTGCCAGGATTTCCCTAATTGCCACTACTGCTTAAATAGCGATACTGCAGATCTCCTCTGTTCAGCTCTGCTAATCCCTCAGCTGGCACCGCTCACCGTGCAGCAGCTCTCCTGCTGCCCTCCTCCTGCTGCCCTCAGCACCCAGCAAGATGCAGCAAGGGGTGCCAGAGTCCTCCAGCCCCGGTGCTGCTCTTGGTGATCTCTGGCTGGGAAACAGAGCAAAATGGCATGGCTGTGTCTGCAGCCTGCACGTGTAACACGTGTTACTTCTGCCAGTGGGTTTCCCTACGTGATGAATCTTTGTTTATCTGCATATAGTGCTCTTAACGGGACTGTAATGGGGTGTGTAAGATGATGTAATGCTGAAAGATATTTTTAACTCCTATGCAAACAGCCTGTCGCTTAATGAGGCAGGCCCACCAGTCTGTGATGGGGAACTGATTGAGCTTTACCTCGGGGATGTCACTGGGTACTATATGTTCCCCTGCTGCTCCTGCATGCATCAGCCCCCAAGAGGTGTGCTTGGGCAGCTGCAGATGCTGCCCCAGCTTGGAGGAGAAGTTGCTTGCAACCAGGCCAAGCCAAATGCCAGTGAAGGAGCACTGCCTGTTTCAAGGCCAGGGATAATAAGTAATGCACAGCACTGCGGGGAGCTGGAAATTGCAGCCTTCAGTGAAATACCAGAATTCCTCCCAAATTAGCTACATTAGGAAGACTGAACCCAAGCCCTCCCCATTCCAGTTACATTCCTGCCTTTCTTTTGTCTCCTCCCCCAATTTGGCTTAGTGATCATTTTCTTCTACCCGTAATTTCACATGTAGAGAGTTTGAACTCCTCAATTCCCTCACAAACATCAGCCCTCTATTTCCGGACTCTGCCTTCTACCCTACAGCCTGCAGATGCAGTAGAGTGCGATCTCAAGCACGAAGCTGTCCCTGCAGTTAGCTGCAGCCTTGGGCATGCTCCAGGC